CCCCCCCCCCCCATATTTCAGGTGTATGAGGAAATAATTTAGAGTCACTTTGTATACAAAAGATTTTTAGGGAGTTGTAATTCTTTAGCCAGGTCACAATTATCTTAACTTTTGGGAGAATTCAGAAGATGGTGACTTGTTCAGATACAGGATCACATAAGCGTCAAACCAGCCACCAAGCGTATGGCCTGGAATAATGCATGAGGAGACCCCTGGATCTGTTGTTCTGCAATGTATGTGACACCCTTTCTGTGCAAATTACCCAGATTCACTACATAGCAAAATACGTTCTCATGAAACTTGACTGGTATCATTGCTGTTGACTGCGAGAGTATGACTCATAACGACCCTGTGAACAAAAGACCTGAGACTTTCAGTAACTATGGTCATTTCCCATAGTTCATAGTTTTCAGAAGCATGTTGTTTAGGAAGTGGGCAGTATTCCTGCTTCCAGTATCTTCTGGATAGCAGTCTGATATTTTACACACAGTACCACCAAACTACACCTCTTCAATTTATTGCCCTCATGTTTCTTGCAAATTCTTCCATCTTTTGTTAAAAGCATCACTTCAAGCTGCTTCTGCCATCTCTGTGGTTTCGTTTTATTTTTTTATGGGAGCTCTGGTGGTAAGGAGCTGCACTGCAATCTTGAAGGCATGTGGTTCACGGCCAACAGCAGCTCAGGAGAGAAGGATCTGCAATCTTCTCCCCTGTGATTAACTGCCTCCGAAGACTCGTCAGAGGGTCAGCCATGGGACGCGAACATATAAAACAACAAGAACAAGAACAAGAACAACAACAACAACAACAACATGCTTTTTCCACAAGGGCCATCCATACTCCCTCTTACTCTATCACTCCTCTTCCAAACCTTGCTTAGACTGCAATCTCCAGAGGGTATAACCTTGGGGATAATCTTTAACTCCTTGTGTAACAGCCAGTGTATCACAGAATACCAAACACAAGAATAGCAGTTAAGCTACTGGTAGGAGTTCCTGTGTTAAAGCCCGAAAGAACCGTGAAGGTGAAACCGTTAAGAAACAGTTGGTTGTCTTTGTAACTTGCCTCAGAGGCTTCCCGGGCCTGCTTGCCCTGTAGATTTCAAGCTGCCGGACAAACGTCAGCTCGGCATCGTAGAGGACGACGTATCTGGGCTCGACTTCGTGGAGAACCCTCGTCAGAGCATAGGGGTCGCTGCACCCCAGGAGGGGGTGGATGATGGTGAGGGGCTCTTTCAGGATTCCGTATGCAGCATCGGAAGACAGGTTCAGATCAAAGTCTTCATGCTTGACGTCGTCCAGGCCGCTGTCCTGGCTGCTGCTTACTTCTCTGTGATACTCCTCCGCCACCCCCTCCTCACCTTCCTGTTCTTCCGACTTGCCCATCATCTGGGTTAAAGTCAACTTCCGTTTTTTCTTTTTGAGCCTTCTTTCTTTGGTAGAAGCCTTCTCTTTGTTTTGGGGGTCTTTGGCGGCTCTTTTGTTGGATTTCATAATTCTCTTGGAGTGGTCCTCCTTCCTAATTTTCATCCACACGTCTTCGGCTTTGCTGTCCTTCTCAAAGGTTTTCCTGTAGAGCCTCAGGAGAAAGGCCTCCGCTCCAGTGGTGATATACTCCCTCAGCTGGGAGCATGTCCGGTCATCACTCGCACAAATAAGCACTTGACCTGGAATTAGAAAACAACCCCGTGTCACTATTAACCTCATTTGCCTCCCTACTCCTCAGTGGGCCCCTTGCCCAGAGAAGGACGACAGCATTACCCCTTACCAGATTTACAAATGCTTAAAATCTGTTTTAGAAGCTTATCGGACATGTTCACTTCTCTGGCAGAATTACTTAAATCTTCTAAATAAACAAACTTGAAGTCAGTTATATTTAGAGTCTTACGAAAATACATATAGTCATGTAGATTAGATTTTAAAAAAAGCTCTTTTTGATGGAAAAATTTTCCAGAGGATCATATGTACCAAAACAAATTCCAAATAGATTACAGAGTCAAATGCTAAATAGCTAATCTTTTTCTTTCTTTTTTTTTTTAAAGTAACTGTTTTCAGGGAGCTCTGGTGGTCTAATGGCAAGAAGCTGCACTGCAGTCCCAGAGGTGTGCGGTTTGAATTCACCAGATGCTCTGCTGGAGAAGGAGGGGCAATCTCCTCCTTTACCAGTCAGATCTGATTTCACGGTACACACAAAAATATTTTTTTAAAAAAAGTAACTGTTCTCCATCTCTCTACACAAATCGCTGCACAGAGTTGGAATCGACTCCTGGTTGACCCTTCAGCAGGTGTTTGGAGGCTGTAAATCAGATGGGAGGAGATGATCCACCTTTCCTCCTGGGAGCCACGAGTGGATTTGAACTTCCAGAGGTGCTGCCTTTGGGCTAGAGCCCTATGGACTACACAACCAGAGCTTCCTTTTATCATCCTAGACATAAATGATTTTCAAAGTTTAAAAACAATGCAAGAAGTCTCAAGAGACTGTTAGATTAGTGGCTATAAGGATAAAAAAAAGTCAAAGAAAATGAACTTATGCAACACCTATGACCAACTTTCATATCTTTACTATATAAAAAGCTGAGAAACCGAGGACATGAGCTAAACAGGCAAAGGATAATAAGGCAATTCATAAAAGGACAAATGCATATGAGAAACATCGAGCCTCGCCACACGACAGAATAAAAATGTGTTCATAATTTTCTATTAAATTGGTATTTATGTCCTCTAGAAAATAGAGATTCATGCTGTTAGTACAATTTAGAAAACACAATTTTATGACTATAAAAGGTATCTTTGAGGACAGATGTTCAGATATTTAAAATAGGCAAAAATTGCTCATTCAGTATTGTAGAGTCAATTAAAAAACAGCTATCTAGAGAGTCAACTTTCTCTTCTTTCTGCCAAGTGGACTCTGTTTCACAATAAAATTTTCTGCTTCAACATCTGTTTAAATTAGTTGTGTGTATATTTTAACTTTATCAAAGGTGTAGCAACAGCTTACAGAGTTAAACAATTTGACATGGCTTGTGATAAAAAGGATGTATGTTATAATTTTTAGCTTAATAGTTGGCGTTAGACTTACTGTGCTAATCTGCGAGCATACCCGAGTTTAAAGAGAACCCCAAGCCAAACCCAAAGCTGCAGAGTCAACTCCACTCCTTGTAATCCTTCACCAGGTTTCTCTGACTGTAAAGTCTTAAAGAGACGAGACCATTTCATCTTTCTCCCGCGGAGCAGAAGGCAGGAGGCTCAGACTGTCAACCTTTCAGTTTGCCAATCTTTTGATTAGGAAACCACCACTTAGCCTGGCTCTGCCCCCAGGGCAACTTGTTAACAGAGAAAGGCCTTAGAATTTGCATCTTTTCTCTAGGGACTGGTCAGTGTCACTCCACAGAAGGGTTTGGCCTTCGCTGGAAATATCTTGCTAAGAAAATGAAACAGAAGACCCATTTTGTTGAGTAACGTTGAGTCAGAACCGACACATAGCTGACCCTCTAGCGGATTTTTTCAGAGATAATTAATCACATGGGAGGAGACTGCCCATCCTTCTCCCATGGAGCAGCTAGCTGGTGGGCTCAAACTGTGTGCCTTCAGGACTGCAGCGCAGCTTCTTCCCACTAGGCCACCAAAGTTCTTTTAGGGATTCTAGATCTAAGTCTAATGAATGTAAAGAAGGAGATAAATGGAATCATTAAATAAAAATCTGGGAGAGAATCTAGCCAGTGAAAAACCCATTTTCATGACCTTGTAATGATTCTACGAGGACACACTCGGGCCAAATGGAAAGGGGACATTGGGACCCCAAAGCTCATTTGGCATTTCTTCATCATGTAGAAATAAAATTATGAGTTATTTTAAAAGAGCTAGTGAAAAAGAATCCTTATTCATGAGGTAGGACTAGAAGGCAAACGTCATCACATCGTTTTTTTTTTTTTCTATAATTATATTTTATTAATTTTCATAAACATTTACAGAGATTTTGGGCTTCCACTCATTCATTGTTGCTATCACATCGTTTTATCCTACCTGGACCACCAAGGGCTTCACTCTCCTTGTTTTCGGCTTCAATTTCTTTGAGCACTTCCGTGAGGGCTTCCCACTTTGGGCTGCTTTCTAAAACCAGCTCCTTTTTTGTTTCTGTAGAGAACGAAGAGACAGTCTCACTCCATATGCTAATATACATGCACTCTACAAGCTTTTTTTAACTTGAAGCAACAGTAAAAGTATCATTCATTCCACAAGCCCATTCCACTGAATATTATTCATGTTAGATGAAAGGCACTAAGATACCATACACAGTCACTAAGACAATGATTCTGGGTTGTCAACTGTTACCCTACAGAGACTGCTACATGTAGTAATCAGTACAGAATAATAGTATTCACTTCCGAAATCTACATGGTTTTCAGTCTTAATATAGATAGACATGAACAACAATTTTTTTTTAAATTTTTATTATTTTGTGTGCGTGTACCGTCAAATCAGATCTGACAGGTACAGGAGGATATTGCTCCTCCTTCTCTGGCAGAGCATCTGGTGGATTCGAACCGTGTACCTCTGGGATTGCAGTGCAGCTTCTTGCCACTAGGCCACCAGAACTCCCCTAACAATTTTTTGAGTAGTAGTGCATTATGTTATAAACTATGCCACCAGAGCTCCTTAACTATCAACTTTTTATTTCTATATGTTCTTTGGGAGCTCTGGTGGATGTGCCAACAACCCAAAGGCATGCAGTTCGAATCCACCAGCAGCTCCACAGGAGAAAGGTTGGCAATCTTCTCCATTGTCCTTTACTGTCTCTTAGAAAGCTCCTGAAGCATCAGTTATGAATTGGTTCCAACTCAATGGTACACAACAACTTTATGTACTGAAGCATATGTACTTATTTTGAAACAGACCTTTGAACTATGCAAGAAGCAAGAAATCATCCTTTTTAATCTCCTCCTGTGCAATTAACTACCTCTGAAAACCCACTGTAGGGTCATCTACGAGTCAGTTCCAACTCGACAGCACAAAACACTACAGCTAGACAAATAATGAAATGAGGCAATCCATGTCCATTTCAGTCTAGTGTTCAGATTCATGTTCTTTAAAAGTAAAAAGAGACATTAAAAAACACTAGCTGGTGCTAAAGAGTGTAATTATTTTGAAGTTAAATAACAATAATAAAAAAAATCTATAGTTTGTACGAAGCATTAAGAATACTCTTCCTTTGTACTTGGTATGTGTTTTCTGGAATTTCCTAGTAATGGATTTCAAGACCTGATAAAAGAATACATTTAACATACGTTATTAAAATGTCTATTAGGGCCTGTTCAGTGTCACTCCACAGAAGAGTCCAGGAGTCACTGGAAAGATCTTTCTGAGGTAATAAAACAGCAAGACCCATTAGCTCTGCACTTAGGGGTTCTGGATCTGAAGCCTAATTAAGTGTACATATGGGGAATTGCTGGTTCATTAACTAGTCCTGAGAAACACCCCAAGCAGTGGAAAAAACCCCATCTTCATGCCTTTACAAGGACTCCACCAGGACACGCCACCAGGACAACGCTGTATGTGACAGCACCCACTCTCTGGTACAGACAGCGGCCCTCCCTCGGGTCTGAGGCTCTAAAGCATATAGGGGAGAGGCCACAGACTTAAACTGTGGAGATGTGCTGTCCTGGGGTGAGCGGTGTGACCTGCTACAGATTATGCCCCCAGACTCTGCACCACACGCAAATGTGCATTTTATAGGTGAGCACACATTCTTCAGAGAGATTTTAGATTACACTTGTAGTTGATAAGCATTTCCATGCCAGTGAAATAAGAACTTAGAGCCACAAGATACCTTGTCCTTCTTTAATCTCTGTGCTCTCAGACAATTTGCTTTTTTTACTCATTTTGGCATCTGGAACATGATAAACCCTCGCTCGAGCATTGACGAACATTGAGGTACTGGAGTCAAGAAACAGCCAACCTAATAGAACAAGGGAAAAATAAACCAAGCCTTTAACTGGAATGAATTTATTACAATTAATTTTAAACAATCTTTGGTGGTTGGTTCTAAGACTTATAAACACAACGAGCTAGCATCTTGTTTTCTTACCAACGGCACCCTCCCCTAACATGGGGGCCCTCCTCGCTGCCAAGCTTGGCCAGGGGTTTTCCAAATGTGGGCCACACGCCCCTAAAGGTCCTGGTCTCCAAGACTCTTTGAGGGGACTTCAAAGTGAAAACTCTTTTCATAATAATATTAGACACCAATTGTCTGTTTCCACTATGTTGACATATCCACTGATGGTACAGACGTAACGGTGGGTAGCACTCCGGGGGCCTTAGCACAATTCAAGACAGTGGTAACAATCTGTACGGACAATGAGTGTACTCTTCACTGCCATGCAGCTGGAGTTCAACAAGGTCCCTGATGAAATAACAGAAATGCCCGACCGTATTACATCTTTAACCTGCACTAGGTATCTTTCTAGTATTTGGTGGGAGAGAATGGCAAGTACACACGAGGCACTTTCGCTGCATATCAAAGGACAACGAAGGCCTCGAGGAAGCACACTTGTGGGACTGGCGTGAGCTCTGCGGAACGAGTCACTTTCCCCCCATGGAACGACCTATTTAACTGAAAGAACAATAGTCAGAAAAGCCAGGGTCATTCATTCCTGGGTATTTCAAAGATATTTTCCTGAAAATGAACAAACTATTTGTTGCCATTGATAAAAATCTAGCTCTCAAGGGAAAGTAAATTTTGTAAAATTTGTTATCTGCCACCATGTGCCTGGCATGTCCCAAAAGAGACTTTTCTGTTATGATTAGCGGAGACACTAACACATCTGGTTTTTAACATATATTAATAGCAACACAGATCAACATTTGGAGAATCTGCTTAACTCAGTGAAGTAGTATTTTTCCAAATGACTGATACAGGATACTAAAAAAAAAACAAAAAAACAAACGCAAAACATATAAAGTTAAAGAGTATACTAACATTACAAAATAGATAACTGAATTTTAACGAAATCAGAATCAGAAGAGGAAAAGTTCACTTATATGCTTTAGATTCTACACCGTGATTAATCTGTATAAAACTTGTCAAAGTTTGTAAAAAATCTAAATATTCAATACTGATCTAACCTACACCTTCCTAAAGACATATGTGTATGACATCAGATCATCTTTATATTCTTCAATCAAAATAATGTATCACACCCAATTAAATGCAGATGCAGTATTATTAGATTATTAAATTATACATTTAAGAGATTTAAAAAGATATAAAACAATGCTGTTGTACTGTCAAGTCGGAATTGACATAAACACACACATACATACATATACACACACACGATTTACAGAAACAGTTTCTGGCTAAGTCACTTTTATAAGACTGTGAAGGGAATCCCATGGTTGAGAACCATTAGGCTCAACTAGCCCTCTGCACTATGATTTTCCTATCAGTCTAGCGCCGTCCCACACACTGTGGGCATGTCACCAGTAAGGGCTAGTCCTTGGAGAAGTACATCATGCCTGAAAGGGTGGAGGGACAGCACTGGAGAGGAAGACTCCAGATGAGAGGGACTGACACAGTAACTGGGATAATGGAGTAATTGTTAAAGCGTGTTGGAGACAGATTGGCTCAGGATATGGGCAGGGTTCAGAGCTAACGTATGTAGGGTATGAGTCATAGTCAACTTGACGGAACATAACAATAACAACAACAACAACAAACAACAACAACAACAACTCCTCATTAGTCCCTGGCACTTGAGCTTATGAAGTCTCATACTTTTTGTGGTTTCTGTGGGGAAAAAGGAATTTTAAGTCAACAACTAACCTTTCTTTCAGAATCCAACCTATTCCTAAACTGGGAACGGCCTGTACTATAGAGTCTTTTCTAGAAATAAAGTGGCTGGGAATGGATATGAATATTTATTATTACACAGAACAGAAGTTAAGTAGGCGGAAACATTAGCTATCAATAAAACCGACCTCCTTGTGGTATGAACATAAAACATAATTTGGAGTCTTAGTACAGCACGCAGTTTAATATAGCACTCCCCACACCTGAGTCTCCTACAAAATCTGACACTTTACTCAAACCTGTGCAGGGAATTATGTATGTATTTTTATCTCCCACCTGAATTTTGACCAAAAGCCTTCTCAGTTGCTCTCAAAGACTCCAGAAGATTAAGAAATGTGACACAGTCGTACTGAGAGAGATACTGAAGCAAAGTTCGTAATATCTTCAAGTCCTGGACCAAGGATTTAGTCTTGGCTCCAAGCTGGTGCCACAGAGGATCCAAGTAGTGGCGGATTGTCTAAAAGAAGAATAGAAGAAGTTGGTACGGCTGAAATATATTCAATACATAAAGCATATTCTTTTTTTAATGGGGATTTTAGTGAAAGTTAACAAAGAGATTGGTTTTCATTCACACACATTTTCCTCCACCCCTCCCCAATTCACTCTGTAATGTTTGTCGTATTCCAGACTTCTAATTGTCAGACACATAATCTATCCATTCTCCTGCTCTCCCGCACCCTGTATCCATCCTATTGTTATAACAGTGGTCTTACGCAGTATTTGCCCTTTTGTAGCAGACAAATTTTACTCAGTATAATGTCTTCCAGGTGCATCTTTAATACATATTATTCTACCCCAAGCCATCATCCCTCAAGAAGTAACAGAAAATTTCAGCTCACAAAATCTTATTAAAAATGTTTAGTTTTTCAAATGTAAGGAAGAGACTCTTGCTATCAGAGATGCTTCTGATCAAGTCAACTAAAAATCACATTATTATTTGAGAAAGAAGAGGTCTGTCTGATAAACAGTAATCAGTATTTGTAACTTGGATGGATAAAAATATCTGAGCTACAGAGACCATGGAGCAGGGGATGTAAACCAGATAAACCAGATTTGACATCTGGTGTCAAATTAAGTAAAACTGTACTTAATATGGAGATGTTGAAGTTTTTGAAAATGAAAGATTCACGGTGGTAGTGGGAATATTTGTTAAATTAAAAATTGTCTAAGCATCAATATTTTTAAGATCTTAAAACATGGCTGACAACAAGTGAGCTTTATATAATTGTTCAGTTTGTGCCACCAGAGACTCCTATATACTATGTGATCATTTTATACATTTACAGCTGTATGTCTGCTCAGGTGTAGATTGTAATACACTCAAATTTCCACAAACCGATTCTGTATATAAAAAGTACTCTTATGTGGTTTTATACCCAAAATTTAACACTCAGTAGGAATAATTTTGGATGGCTATGAAATTTACTGTCCAAACTGGATAACTGTAAACATGAAAAGAGATGCTATGAAGAATTACTACAGGACAAGAAGCAGAGATGGGGGTCATCCTAGACAAATGGAACTTTAACTGCATGCGGTTCTAGCAAGATCTTCTGCAAATCCTTATAATAAGAGGCAAGTTACAACTACATTAAGATTTGTTACTAAGAAAATATCTACCTAAAACACTTGACTTTACTAGCTAGGGGATGATAAACAGCAATTCAGAACAAAATGTTACTGTTGTTGTTAGGTGCCTCGAGTTGAGTACGACTTGTAACAATCCTATGAACAAAAGATCTGAATCCTGTTCTATCCTGTCATCCTCTCACTTCCTGACACACTAGAGTCCACTGCAGCAGTCACCGTGTTAATTCCCTTGGTTGAGGGTCTTTCTCTCTTTTGCTGACCCTCCACCCTTCCCAGCATCATGTCCTTCTCCAAGGAACTGCCCCTCCTAGCAACATGCCCAAAGTATGTGAGGTGAAGCCTCATCATTCTTGGCTCCAAAGAGCACTCTGTCAGCACCCTCTCCAAGACATAGCTGTTTGTTCTCTTGGCCGTCCATGGGATGTTCTCCAACACCACAGCTCAAAGGTGTCAATTCTTTTGCTGTCATCTTTATTCACTGTCCAGCTCTCAGATGCATAGCAAGTGATCAGAAAGATTACGGCCTCAGATGCACCTTAGTCTTTAAACTGACATCACTACTCCTCAATAATTTGGAAAGGTCCCTAACTGCAGATTTTCCCAGCGCAATGCATCTCCTTATCCTGCTGGTACCAAGGGTAAGCTATTTCTTTTTTTTCCCCTAGGAATATATTCATTCTATGAAAAGAACTGTGTTTTTTTCCTTTTTTGTATCGGCAGAATGTTAAATGATCCAGCAAGTATTAAAAGAAGATGGAAAGAATATACTGAGTCACTGTATCAAAAGGAATTGGAAGACACAAAAGAATTTCATGAAACAACATATGAGCAAGAGCCTATGGTGATGAAAGAAGAAGTTCAGGCTGCTTTGAAGGAAATGGCAAAAAATAAGGCTCCAGGAATAGATGGTATACCAATTGACATATTTCAGTTAACAGATGCTGCCCTGGACGTGCTCACCAAGTTGTGCCAAGAAATCTGGAGAACAACCACTTGGCCAACTGACTGGAAGAGATCGATATTTGTTCCTATCCCAAAGAAAGGTGACCCAACAGAATGTGGAAACTACAGAACAATCTCACTGATTTCACATACAAGCAAGATTTTACTGAAGATTATCCAAAAACGACTGGAACAGCACATCAAGAGAGAACTACCAGAAGTCCAGGCTGGGTTTAGAAGGGGTTGTGGCACTAGAGATATTGTAAGCTGATGTTAGATGGATCTTGGCTGAAAGCAGGGAATACCAGAGGAATGTCTATCTGTGTTTCATTGACTATGCAAAGGCATGTGACTGTGTAGATCATAACAAACTACGGCTGACTCTGAGAAGAATGGGAATCCCAGAACACTTGATCGTTCTAATGCGAAACTTATACTTGGACCAGGAGGCAGTCGTCAGAACAGAGCAAGGGAACACTGCATGGTTCAAAATTGGGAAGGGTGTATGCCAGGGATGCATCCTGTCTCCATACCTTTTCAACCTATATGCAGAACAGATTATCCGGGAGGCTGGGCTCTATGAGGAGAAATGTGGGGTCAAGATTGGTGGATGATTTATCAACAATCTGCGTTATGCAGATGACACAACCCTGCTTGCTGAAACTGAAGAAGACCTGAAGCGTCTGCTGCAGAGTGTCAAGGACTGCAGCCTCCAATATGGATTGAGGCTCAATGTCAAGAAGACAAAGATTCTCACCACTGGACCAATTGGCAGCATCAGGATGGATGGTGAAGAGATTGAGATTGTACACAGCTTTAGTTTGCTTGGCTCCATAGTCAACAGTCTTGGCACCAGCAGCCAGGAAATTAAAAGGCGCATTGCCATGGGAAAGTCTGCTGTTAGGGACCTCTCCAAAGTACTGAAGAGCAATGGCGTCTCTCTGGAGACTAAGGTGCGTCTGATACAGGCCATGGTCTTCGCAATCACTTGTTATGCATCAGAGAGTTGGACAATGACCAAGGAGGATAGAAGGAGAACTGATGCCTTTGAGCTGTGGTGCTGGAGAAGAGTATTGAGAATACCATGGACTGCTAGGAAAACAAACAGATTTGTCCTGGAAAGGGTTAAACCGGGTGGCTCCTTGGAGGCAAGGATTCTGAGGCTCCGTCTAACATACTTTGGACATGTTGTGAGGAGAGACTGGTCCTTGGAGAGGGACATCATGCTTGGGAGGGTGGAGGGACGGCGCAGGAGTGGAAGGCCTTCTATGAGGTGGATTGATTCAGTGACTGGGATAATTGGGACGGGAGTGTCGGAGACAGCGCGATTGGCACAGGACAGAGCGGAGTTTAGGGCTACTGTACATAGGGTCGCTATGAGTCGCAAGCTACTCGACAGCACATAACAACAACATGTGCTACATTATGTCTAAGCATTAAGGGACTGAATTCACGAAACTAAGTGTTTCTATCAGTATTTCACAGTAAATGGACTTTCTGAAAGAAATCAATAACCTGATGAGAGGAACGAAGAATCAGAATTTTCTGTTTTTACATCGCTAAGACTAATTTGCAGCTGCAAAGAGACAGGAACTTAAAATGCCAAAATATTAAACAAAAAGCAGTCTGAATTATTATTTTTTTTTAAATAAGACCAGTATTTTCTGGATCCACAATTAAAATTTAGATATTTGCCTATCCGTATTAATGATGTTTTATGACTTTAAAAAAACCAATGAGAATAACACTTCCTTGATCAAAGTTCTTACCATATTCCCAATTTGTACAGTAATTTTAGAGAGCTTGCTATCTTCACTAATGAGATCTCACTAAACTTATTCCCCCAAAAAGAGATAATTAATATGCAGTTATGAGGTATTCTTATGCAAAACTCTCCTGCCTGAAGCTATTCCAATGTAATTTAAGAGGAAAAAAAGAATTATTTATCCATCTCTTAATTATAGTTAAAATAATCACTTATTGCACAATTAAAAAAGCACAGTTCTGATTATACAACAACCCACATAATATTTTACTAAAAAATCATTACTTTTTAGCACACCAAAGGTATATTTTAAATAACTTCCAAGTTAATTCTAAAATAACAATACATTTCTATTAACAACACTGCAACTACTAAAATAACTTGCATTTCTTCTAACGACAGTCTAATAAACCACACTTAGACTAGAATAAAAGTACCTTGTCGAAAGGTTTCCCAATGGCGTTCTCTAAAGATAAATCTTCTACTTCGAGCGACGGGTTGTGGCACTTGAGCTCCCTCAGGCAAGCATTCAAAATGTCCAGCACAGCGGTCTGTATTGCAAGCATGGCAGGCGTCATGGAAACATGAATTTCTACAACTTCAGGCTTGTGCTGCTCTAAAAATGAGTGTACTGCTACATGGAACCTGGAGAGACAAAGAGCTTTCCAGTTATTTTCTAATGTGTCCACAGTTAGTTGAGTCTTGGCTGAATAGTCTCAGTTGTTTTTGTAAATGCAATTATGACACAAACAAAATGGAAAGCACCACGACAACGTCCTCAAGAACACGTCTCACTTTAAGGAACAGAAGTATTACTCTAAGATCAGCAGACTCCGGCCTGGGCCAATCTTGCCCATTTTTCTAAGTAATGGTATTGGAATACAGCTGCACTCCCTTCATTTAACTTCACCTACAGCCCAATGTCGGCTTGCAGGCTGCAACAGTAAAACCAAATAGTTGCCACAGTCCTCAGAGTCTTTAAAGGCCAAAATATCGACTATCTGGCCTTTTACAGAGAAAAGTTTGCTGGTCTCCGAAATAAGGTAGAAAGAAGAAAGGAAAAAGATGACAGCGACTACCTTTAATTGACTAATAGCTGATCCTTCAGAGAATTTTGGAGCCTGGAAACATCAAGGGAGATGATCTGTCTTCCTCCCATGGAGCCTTGGGGGGTGTGTGTGTGTAGAGGTGCAATCTTTGTTTGGGTGTGAGGGAGAAGGAAAGAGAGAGGAAGAAAGAAAGGGGAAAGAAGGAGGGGGAAGGGAGATGGAAAGGGAGAGGGAGGGGAGACGGAGAAGAGAGGGAGGGGATGGGAGAGGGAGAGGGAGAGGGACAGGGAGAGGAGATAAAGAGCGCCACCAGAGACGCAGCCTTTGGGTTAGAAGCCCCATAGACCAGGCAACCAGAGCTTCGGGTCTTTAAACAACAGAATCAAAATACATATTGACATGAGTTGCAAAAAAATGTTTTAAAATGGAAACCTTAAAAAAAAAAAGGAAACCTTAGGTTCTTGCTAGAAATTCACAGAAATTCCTCAAAGTTTTCTGTTTTATTTCCCTACAGGTAATTTTCACGATGGAAGTACGTGCTTTAGATAATAACTCTGTAGTTTGTCTAAAGCTGGCTCAAACCTTCCCCCACCCAAAAAAAAAATTAGATCTGTGAGGGGGCAAGAAAGACACTTTTGGTAAATTTGATGAACTACAAGCAAATAGTTTATCAGGCCCCTTTCAATTTCTAAAAGAAGGGGGGGAAATCACAAATAGAGACATCATGTATTTTTCTTTTATACTTGGACAGATCTGTTACACCTGACTGTCGTTAGGTACCATTGAGCCATAACTCACAGTAACCCTATGAACAACTATCTATAAACTCAGATAGTTTATCTATCTATAAAAAGATAGATTTGAAGGGAGCCTTGGTGGCCTAATGGCAAGAAGTTGCACTGCAATCCCAGAAGTACGTGGTTCGAATCCACCAGATGCTCCGCTGGAGAAAGGAGGGGCAATCTCCTCCTGTACCAGTCAGATCCAATTTGATGGTATACAAACACAAAATAATAATTAAAAAAAAAAAAAAAAAAAGATCTGAACCATGTCCTACTATCTCTGATCTGTGTCAGTCTATCTTGTTGGGGTCTTCCTTTCTTTCCCTGACCCTTCACGTTCCCCAACATGAAATTTTTTTTCAAGGACTGGCGCCTTCCTGACATCATACATCTGGCAAGCATCTATCACCGGGTAAAACCAAATTAAGATTAAATGACAGCTGACATTTTCATAGAATTTCGTTACATAACGCTCCTTAAGATTTACCTTGGCCACAGATAGAGCTTCCTTACAAAGAGATTCCGCATCACTCTTTCCACGTGGCAAAAGCCAGTATCAAAGGCAACGGCGTTGTCCGTGAAAGCTTTAATGAAACCACGTTTGTTTTTCTGGCGGAAGAGGCGCAAGATGAAGGCTTCTTGACAGGAGTCAATTATTCGGTGAGCTCTATACACCAGGATGCCTGAGGGGAAAACGTAAATTCAATGACAGAACACACAAGGCCCTTTCATGCTTATTGTCTTTTCATCCACTCAAACCAACCAACCTATACATCTATACATTTTTTCCTATGTAGCTACTTGAACATAAACATGGCTGGGCATAGTTCTAGCTTTGGGATATAGCCAAGCACGAGACAGACACAAATCCATGTCCTCATGGAACTTAGAATAGCTGCTCAGTATGTTAGAAGGGGGAAAGGAGAAAATTAAATCACAGGACAGGGAGTGTGGAGGAGAGGCAAAACTCATGGAAACGCTTGGAAAGTGAAGGAGGGGAAGACTCTCAAGTACATGGATTGACAGAGTAACTGCAGCAATGGGTTCAAGTATATCAGAGCTGAGTAGGATGGCCCAGGATAGGACAGGTTCAGAGCCACTGTTCATAGGGTCACGATGAGTTGTGGTTGGCTTGATGGCACTTAATAACAACAATAACAACAACATCTCCTTTGGAGTGGCTGGTGGGTTCAAACTACCCACCTTCTGGCTAGCAGCTGAGCTCTTTAATCACTGTGCCACTACGAGCTGGCTTGTAGAAGGGTTTGCAAATTTTGGAAAAGGGAGCCTCATTCTTGGATCAAACATTCAATTTTTCCAGGACAATGATTCTCAGAACGTTAGACTTAAATCTAGTCAGTTACCTTATATATATTTGCTATACTTTACTGGCTGAATGTAAAGAATACCAGAAGAATGTCTATTTGTGCTTTATTGACTATGCAAAGACATTTGACTGTGTGGATCGTAACAAGTTATGGCGACCACTGAGAAGAGTGGGAACCCCAGAGCACTTAATTGTGCTTATGTGAAACCTATATGGAGACTAAGAGGCTGTTGTGTGAACTGAGCAATGGAACAGTATCTGGTTTAAAATTAAGAAGGGAGTGTATCAGGGTTGTAAGTCTCTCTCCATACCTATTCAATCTGTATGCCAAGCAAATGATTCAAGAAGTTGGATTTTATGAAGAAGAAGGTGGCATCAGGATCAGAAAAAGACTCATCAATAATCTGTATTATGAGGATGACACAACATTGCTTGCTGTAAGTGTGGAGGACTTGAAGCATTTTTTGTGGGAGGTCAAAGAATACAGTCTTCAATATGGATTGTATCTCAATGACAAGAAAACAAAAATTCTCATCTCTGGACCAACAGGTAACATCATGATAGATGGAGAAAACACTGAAGCTATCAACAGCTTCATCTTACTTGGATCCACAATCAATACCCTTGGTATTAACAGTCAAGAAATCAGGCGATGGGGAGCTCTGGTGGCCTAGTGGTAAGGAGCTGCAACTACAATCCCAGAGGCACGCGGTTCGAATCCACCAGATGCTCTGCCCGGGAAGGAGGGACAATCTCCTCCTGTACCAGTCAGATCTGATTTGACGGTACACTCACACAAAA